TTTATAATGTAAAATAATTAAATAACTAATTTTCACTTGTTCTTCTATTTATATATATTTAATAATGACAATTATTTATTTCAAATATCTAAATCTAAATAAAAAAAACTGAATATTTCTTAGTAAAAGAATATATTTCTTAGTATTCTCTTGATATCCAATTTCTTAAAAGAATAGTGGAGATCAATGTATGATGGTATAAGAAAACAAAAGTATATAAGTCTAGATTGATTGTTTTTGCTTCTTAGCTTTTCAAACGAAATTCCAAGTCGAAGTTCAAACTGTTGTAATAATATAATCTCTAATTTTATACATCAATAATGATTCGTGTTTCGGATGTTATGTGATATACTTCAATGATTTGAATGACAAAGTTATCATTAATAGGATATTATAGATATTTAGATAAGGTATTTCTTGATTATTACTTTACTTTAAACGAAAAGGGGAAAGAAAAGAGAAAGAGAATATGTATATATGTGAATAAAAGTAGACAAGGGATTGATTCTGTGTTCCGGGGGTAAATGGTGGTGGATCGCATAGGGCGGACGATGCGTTCGTTCTCGCGCGGATCAACCCGCCGTTGCCAGTAGCGTCGCGGAATCGGGCCGGTGCGGTTCTTCTCTGCTTCTGATCATATTACTCTCTACGTTTTTGTTCTATTTTCGACTTTTGCTTTGATGGCAAACATCAATATGTAAGTACGCGCTAAACAATGAGTTTTTGAAGCATCAAACACATATGAAGACCGGTATATTTACAATGAATTCAGCCCTCAAGATTTTAAAGATTGTATTAAAAAAATATCTTATATGATATTATTGTCGCGTTTTATTATATAAAAATCTAAAAATTATTTTTATATTAATATTATTAATATGTGTGAATTCACTTGAATTATACCGACTTTGAATAGTGTTTCTAAAGAACTTCTTTTTCCTTTATACATATCGAAATTTCTGTTTGCGCGCTACCAATGAACTTTACGATGGAATAAACTCGATAGTTTAGGGTTCATAGAGTAAATTTCGCGAAAAAATAGTGAGAATGTGTGGTGTGATTAACAAATGTTCTGCATCAATAATAAATTTTAGGATTCTCAACATGCTCCAACATTCTTTAAACTTAAAATTGGAATACATATAAAAATAAAATTAAAACCATATTAAAATATAATTTTTAAAAAATAATTAAAAAAAATATGATTTACGATATTAAATGTATAAAAAATCCAATTTTTAACGATTTTAATTATTTAAATTAAGATTTCTATTATTTATCTATTTATACAAATTTTTTGGATAAAATAGAAGGGAATTTTGTATATAAAATGTATTTCACTGTTTCCCAATATATATTGCCATTTTCGAAATTTTTATGGTAGAAATTTTAGCAATATGAACTTTCATCATTAAAATGGATTTATGCACGATTTATTCACTATCCACGTCATAGTTGTTTGTGTCACATCTCTGTTATCCATTCAACCATGGATATAAATGATTCAATATATTTAAACAGTGGTCCTATATGTATATGCACATATAGGATAGTTTAGGATAAGCCTTCTTTCATTATGAATAGTTTAATAAATTTGCAATCAATTTCATTAATTACAGTTTGATTAACCATTATCATTTTACATATGTTTAATATTAAATATTAAATATCTTAAATATCTTTGATTAACATCAAAGATATTTAATATTAAATACCTTCGTAATTAATTCTCAAATATTACAATAGTCTTAAATTTAATCTATTAAAATTTAAATAAGAAATAGATTTTATTATTTAATTTTCTATTCTCCAATCTCTATTTTTCATCGTCTATTTTTTACTCTTCGATTCGATATCCAAGCTTTTAACTCGTAATCCACATTAAAAAAAAATAGTTAGATCCAATAGAAAATTAAAATATTAATTTTGTATTAGCCGCGCAATGTAGATGTAAAATAAATGTAACAAAACTTTCTTATTTGTTCTCTTGTTGCTAATTACTAGAGGTATCGATTCTTTCTATCTCTTTTTCTCAACTGTCTACAACGTACAACTTAATACGAGATTAATTTAGTTATCTAAATAAAACCATTCTTTTATAAACACGTTTTCAAAACATTAAAATAAAAAACATATTTAATCTTGCGTGCGTATTTAATTATAATTTTAGAAAGTTGTAATGATAAAATAACTTTGACCATTCATTACCACATATTAAATTACATTGTGGTACAAATTTATCTTTATATCTAAATCATTGTAAAATATGTCGGCTTTCTATATATGTTATACAAGTGTATATTTCACATGCCTTCAAAAATCGACGTGTATGGTTGTGGCATTTAAATACTATCATATCGATGTTTGACATTCACGCAAAAATATTAAACGTTAAACAAAGTTTGCAATTCGTTTGCTTTCATAAATCGTACAATTTTCATTCACAGCATTTTGTAATACTCTTTCTTTTGTAAATATAAATCACGTGTAGTAGACTCTT